TCAAAATCCTAGATCTCCATCGCGACAACTCCCCTAAGACACTCAAATCTTCCTAAAACATCCATTAGACCCCTGATCGACTAACCACCAGATTTCATACCCAAAAATAACTACTTTGCCCTTCATCCGAAAAGATCCCAAACCGATAATCCTCATTAGCCGCCACTCTCCTAATCCGAGATCTTCATCGAGATACTCCATCCAAGACCCTGAAACCTCCATCCACTTCCTGATCAACCAAACACCCAACTTCAGACCTCACCCATTTTTCCCTTTATCCAAAAAAAGATTCCAAATCGACGATCCTCATTGGTCGTTACTCTCCAAATCAAAGATATCAATCATTACACATTATCTAACATCTCCAAATCCCATGAAAACTCCCGATCGACGATCCATCACATTTTAAAACAAAAATTACCATTTTACTCTTGGCTTAAAAAGATTCCAAATGAACCATCCTCATCAACCGATACACCCCAAATTCAAGATTCATCACACATCATCTAACACCTCCAAACCCCATCAAAACCTCCCAATCGATGATCCATCACATTTCAAACCCTAAAATGACCATTTTACCCTTGGTTTAAAAAGATTCCAAATGAACCATCATCATCGCCCGATACACCCCAAATTCAAGATCCATCATCACACATCATCTAACACCTGTAAACCCCATCAAAACCTCCTGATCAATGATTCATCACATTTCATACCCTAAATGACCATTTTACCCTTGGCTTAAAAAGATTCCAAATAGATCATCCTCATCGCCCGATACACCCCAAATTCAAAATCCATCATCACACATCATCTGGCACCTCCAAACCCCATCAAAACCTCTCGATCATCGACCCATTGAACCTCAAGCCTTAAAATTACCATTTTACCCCTCCTCTATAAAGATTCCAAATTGAGGGCTCTGATTGGCTGCTACTCTCCCATTTCAAGATCTGCATTGCGGTACACCCTTTGATACACCTAGATCACGGCATCACCTTCTTAGACACCCAGATAAACCCTCCTCCATTCTTAGACCCAAAATTACCATTTTTACCCTTTTATTAAGAAAAATCCCGATTCAACAACCCCTACTACTCGACACACTCCAAATCATGATTTCTCACTCTGACACACTCCCCGAGGCCATCAAACCCCATCATTCCCCTTTTTAGACACCTTAGAACCCCCTTAGAAAATTTTGTTACAAAATTCCCCATTTTACCCCTTCACCTACGAAGATTCCAATTCGGGCGATCTCGTTGTTTGAGATGAACCCTAACATCTTAAGTTTTAACTTCAACCCTTGAATCCTACACATCTCACCCCTTAGACTTGCCCTTTCATTACAAAACCCCCCATGCACATCTTCAATTAGGACCCTACACATTTTGGAAAATCACCTAAAGCCCCCACTAAACCTAGAATCACTGCTTCCAAAATCGGACCGGACTGGACGGTCGGACCAGAGAAGCTGACCAAACTCTTAGAGTCTTTAGGAGAAAGTGATCAGTTTTCAATAGCAGAAGAAGCTACCACTCAACAATTTTGTTCATGTGAAGGCTGAGAATTGGAAGGGCAAGTGGAATTAGTTGAGACATTAGGAATTATACAAAAGGTGGGCATTTTAGAAAACGATCATTGTGTTTCTGATTTGGAAATTGATTATTTTGCCTCTGAGAAGGATGGCAGTGAGTTGGGGAAAAAGTGGGAAAAGCGAGAATCATGGATCATGAAAATTTTTGCAACAAGGAAGAGATGAGAGACTCTGCTTATGTTATGCAAGTGTATATTGGAAAGTTGGGGTAGATTTAGGAAGGAAGAGGAATACAAGTTTTTAGTAAAGATCATCTAAATGTAGGGGACTTGAAAAAAATCCAAAGTTTCAAGTAATGGTCAACTAGTTCACATTACCAAAGTCTTCCACCAATTGAAGGAGAGTCTTGTAGAGGTTGGTTTTTGCAGTAAATTCAAGAGGATCTACAAGAGAAAGGAGGTGAAAACCAAAGTCAAAGCTAGAAATCAGCAACTGCCTAAAAATAGCAGTAGTTCAAACTCTTTGGAAAAATAAGTGGATACTGGGTATTGGGAATTTGGAACTAACTTTTGGAACTCCAAAAGAAGATGTTTTGTTAGTAGAAAATTAGGTACAAGAGGATAAGATGGAAAGAGAGGAAGAATATGCAGAAGGGGAAGATAATGATGAGGAAGAGATTATTGATCGGGTAAGAAAGAAGGAACTATGGACTTGGAGAAAATAGTGGAAACTGAAGTCCCAAGTAAGCAAGATTTTAGGGTTACATTTTTTAGGAGGAGAAGAATTTGCAAGAAAAAATATTCCATGAATTGGAAGAGAGAGATCCGTTGAACTAAGAAAGCTTTAGTGGGGAGTTCTGAATGGAGAAAGATGGTGGGGTCATTTGTTGGCTTGGAATCACAGGAGGGTATGACTGGGTTTTGTATTTTATGGGGTTTTGGTAGTGAATCTGATTTAGATGCTTGTAAGGGCTGGGAAAGAAAAGTTTGTTTCAAAAAAGGGTTTGAAGGGATTCAATGGTGGATCTTGGGATTTGATATATTTCGTGTAATATTTTGTCACCTGTTTGTTTGTGTTTCTATTTATTTCTTTAATAAAACTTTCTTTTTTATTTACTACCAAAAAAACACACAAGAAAGCCCACTTAGAAAGAATCTGTAGCCAAATCAGTTTACGTGAGAAATGGTATGGGCTTCTAAGATTTCTCTCGAAGGATTTAACCCAGAACAACCCATTGTTTTTCCATTTCCATCTCCAAGTGTCTTCTTGACCTGGCCTTACATTTTGGTTTCTCAGCAGCTGCAAAAGCTCAACCATACCCTGCATCTCCCAAGCCTGGGAAATTTGTGCAAAAACTAGGAGACAAGACCACACTCCCACCCAGAGTTTATTAAGAGGATGCTACTGACACATCTCTACTTTCTGCAAGCACCCACATTATAGCCTAATTTGGGGATTGTTCAGCAAGAGGGCTTCTCATTGCACCAGCTATTCGGCCAAAACCTTAACCTCCCTCTATCACCCGCATTATAGCCTAATCCTTTGGAGAAGGAGCTGTAAAACTATAACACCCCCTTTCAAATAGAGCAGCCATAGGAGGGAAGGGGATTATCCAAAGTCCAACAGCCACCAGAAACACCAAACTTAGCACCTAACAGCCTCCACCACATTCCATTTTCCACCCTAAAAATCCATTCCTGAAACTTCATTAAGAAAATCCATTATCTTTCTAATATTTTCCCAATTTCCTCAAATTCTTTTAAATATCTGAGTAAATTTTATGAAAAAAATCACCAACATGATAGTAAGTTACATTGAAAGAAATCTTTTCTAGATCCTTCAGTCCTTGCTACATCTATGATGCATAAGTAGATATGGAAGCAGTCTCCATATTTAGGAATTAGGACCAAACATTATACCATGTACTGAAGGATGTAATTAAAGAAACCACATCCTGTGCATGAAGAATTACAAGTTCTGATTTATGCCCACCAAAAGCATTTACTTTTTGAAGATAAATAAAAAAGAAATTCATTAAAAGTTAAATGGCAGATACAATGATAAAGGTGATGAGGGATCATCAACAAAAGAAAAAGAAAACTGAGTACAAAAGCATGGCATGATGGAAGGATTCATTTGATGAAGTGGGGCTGTAACAAATAAGTATATTATAAAAATATAAATTGACTTGATTTTTTATGGAGCCCTGTTACCCAAATTTCTGATGCACTAAATAAACCATGTTCTTTAAAGCCAACTAGATGCTATAACTCATGCAATCAGATGTTCCTTTGCATTCACCCAGAAATGATCCAGAGGTGAAAAACTACATATTAAAGCGCAAAGGCATTTGCCAAACAAGAGACTTATATCCTCCAAATCTAGTTACTTTGTAATAGGGGATGTTGTTCATGCCATTCGGTTTCATTTAGTCATTTGGTTAGTTAGACCAAGCTTAATAGATTGGGTTTTGAGTCACACTATTAAGGTGAATGGTATCTCTTGGGACCTGACATCATGGTTGTTTCTTTTCCAAATTACAGAACTGGCTCATATATATAAGAGGATCCACAAGAGTCGTAGGTGCCATCACCTGACACAATAATATCCTATAATTCAATTAAATTTTGATATCAGTAGGAATCAAAAACCAAAAAAATATATATCTAAATACATATAGGAAAGAAAAAAGGAACCAAAAAATCTGGAAATAAAGCAATTGAGGAGTACTTAGCAAGAAAGAAAATACATAGCACAAAGAGAGAGAAAGAGTTAAAAATTAATAAACCTGATTCAACTACTTTATAACCATGCTGCATCCAGCCCAAAGGGGCCATTGCTTGGTGCCGTGGTAAAATTTCAGGCTGGCATTGGCAAGCATGAGAATGCGAGTTTATTTGAGCAGCAACTTCGTGCAAAAAAAGAAAAAAAAAGGACCAACTGTGTGTAATGGGGTTTTTTTTTCAGCCAGCCAAAATATGAACTAAACTTGCAACATACAATGGAATTTATATGTTTATAATATACTAAGCATGAGAATTGCTTGCAATAAAAGCAATTAGAGATCTACCATTTGCAGGGAAATGGAATTCCTCAACTTTAAAATGGAAATTTTCCTTTTTCTGCTTATAATTTGTAATGGAAATTCATTAAGGTCCTACAATAGCTTATTTAAAGTTGAAATCATGTATAACTTGGCTCTTTTGTAGCAGGTTCATCTCAGTATTAGCTCAGATTGAATTTGGATATGGAACTAAGGTTATGGTAGAGGCCATTACCCAATGCAGATCCAATCTATACAGGGTCTTGGGAGGGATGGAATGGATATGAACCTAACCCTCTGGCATTTTTAGCACAAAGTGACTGCTCTCAGACTCAAATCTGCATTCTCATGCTAGTCAATCTGAAATTTTACCATTAAATCAAGCAAAAACCCCTATGGAACTGAGATTCTAGTCCGTGGTAATAATCCGGCAATTATATCACAGGATAAATACAGTCAAAGTTCTTGCATAGAAAATGATAACAAGATTTACACCTCACGATAAATGCCCAGACTGCACAACACTAGAAGCCCAATTAACTGATCTATAAAAAAAAACAGTATTCATCTGTATGCCATGACCTTGGTTAAAAGTATCGATACACCTTTGTGTATCGGCAGATGTGTATCGGTACTTTAAACCATATGCCTTTTTTTAGTTTTTTTTTTCAAATTTCAGTTTTAGACATATTTATATATTATTTAATAAAAAAATGGGTTCCCTAAAACACCTGTAACATGTGTATTGGGTACCCAAAGATAAGATACAATACACCCGGAAGATACTTTGAACCTTCGCCATGACTTCTCCCTTAAAAAGAAAATGGCAAATATACAAAGTCAGATATATCAAAGGCTTATATGGAGCATTAAACATCTACCTATTAATATCACAAATTCCATTATAAAGAAAACAAGATTTAAACCAAGCATCTCTGTAGTAATGAGCACAGAAATCAAAAAATAAATAAAGAATAATTATTGCAGTTTGAGTAAGATATGTCAAGATATCCCTCTGTTTAGAGAATGTAAAACAAATTTACCCGGAGAGAAAGCAATGCACATCAGATGTTAACTCAGCTACAGAAATAGATAAGAACAACAAATAGTGTGGGGTGTATATTAATAAATACATTGACAAGCAGCAAAATTATGATCCACATCTTCCATTAATGTTTTTAAATTTCTCTACGTATGCCCATGTGTGYAAATATGTGGTGATCCTTCAAATTTTCCTTTTAAATATTTGTCCTATGTTCATAGATTAGATTAGATAAGTTTTATTATTTTGACAATTTGTTGGCTGAATTCCGTGTTCCTAGTGATGATGCCCAATAGAGAAATACTGGGTTGGGAGGCCAAGAAACTTCTTGTTTAGTATTTAACACCATGAATGAATGTCATATTAGGCATATTGTTTTAAAAATTCTAAGGTAATTATAGAGTGACGACTCAAACTAGAGTTTTCGTTAACAATGATGCTTAAACGACATTACCGGGAAGAGTATCATTACTAACAAGAAATAATAACAAAATGCGCAGTTGCACACAGCGGTTTTCCTCCAACACCACTCAATTTCAATTCAATTGAGAGGTCAACAGCATTCCCTCATACAGACAGGAAAAAACGCGAATGTGTGATTTGATATTAGAAGTAATAACCAATAAGAAGGAATTAACCCATATTTCTACTGGAAACTGAGAGTAGCCCCGTCAATTAACTCCAATCAATTATTATTTCTGTTTTTTTTCCTTATGCAAAACCATTGATAATGCATGGATGATGATGATGATACAAAACCATTGATATCTGAAGACCACTGGTCGAGAAAACAGAAAATGAAAGAAAACCTGGTTGTTGATTTCCCTCAAGCATCTCTGTTGTAACTAATTGTCATCGTCTCTCTTCCTCGGCTTCCTGTACGTTTCTTCAATGTGCTTTGCTATCAAAAGCCCCGTGTTGACGAGCTTCGCTAAGTTTGGAACATTATAATTCTGAGCAACGTATACCCCACACAAGGTCCCCATTATGAAGGAGAAACTGCTCCTGATTATCCCCATTTCGTCGACAACTCCCTCAATGACCGTTGTTGACATCACAAACACGCGCAGTAAAGAACACGGATTATTAATACGGAATAAGTGAGAATTGAGATACGTTAGGATTGAACCTCTGTAGGGTTTCAGATTGAATCGGATGGGCGGGATACGGGATACAGAGTAGGTATGGGCGGATGACACGACGCAAGTTGGCAACGGGACGGATATTGTAAGGCTGCCTTTATTTTGGGGGCTACGGGCATTTTTCTATTTGGCAAATTTCTTAAAATATGACTAAGTTTTAGAAAATTGATTAACTCTTCTTAGGCTATGTTTGTTTCAAGGAAAATTGTAAAGGTTTTCCTATCTTTTTTTTCCTTTTCTTCCATTTTCCTTCGAAACAAATATAGCTTATTGATGAAGGAAGATTTGGCCCGACCTCGTAACCACTCAACACGTGGCAAAGGCAACAGTTCGGCACAATAGCTCGCCAAGGCGCGAGCTCCGAAAGGAGGAACCAGTGGTCCGAACTCCCCGCAAGGAGCCCGAACTCCCAATAAGGAGCCCGAGCCTTACGAACACAAAGGGCAACGACCCGAACTGGCCTGCCCCACGGCAGTTCGGGCCACACTTCTATCCGAACTCGAGACTTAACCTCGCACACCACTCCAGCACTTCGCCACCGGGACACCGAACTGAACAAACCGTACCTGACACCGAAGGAGTCCGTATCCAGGGGCGGCGCACCTGACTGACTTGGGATCTGACGCTTGACAGCCACATTCCAACGGCCATCTGCCACTGCCATCTCCAATTACAGAGACGGCTCCAACAAGGAGCAGTGGCGGTTCTGTCCCAGCAGAGGTGATGACACCCGAACTGGCAGAAGCACAGAAGTAATCATTGAAGGGATGAGAGATCCATCCCATGGACGCCCAAAGATTGCAGAATAAGGGGGCGAATTTCAAAAATTTCTCTCCCTTCAGCTGGGAATCGCATTCCCTATTTAGAAAATCATATTTTCAAGGATCATTCTTGAACCATAAATTGAACCAGATCTGAACCAAAAAGAGTAGGAGAGGATTATACCTGATACGGAGAAACAGTATCTCCCAATGGAGGTGTTCACGCCCAAGGAAGGATCCAAAATTGCTCCCACTGAAGATGGCGCAGTGCAGGATGGA